TTGAATGCCTCCCCTCCCCCCGGGGCAGCACCTCCCCCCCCCACCTGCTGGGGTTATTCTCTGGGGAGCTCCATGGCATGGGAAATGGGGCAGGGCCCAGCTTGTAATATGGGCCCTGGTGCCAGCCCCTCTCCCAGACCCTGCCCTACAGCAGCTCTCCCTGCTCAGCCACCATCCCAATCTGACAGCTGGCAGCTCTCCCCCCGCAGCCCTGGGTTAGCTCCCTGGGTCTCTCTCTGGAGGAGATGCCCAGGGGAGGCAATAAAAAACGTGAAGCTGGTTTTCTGGGGGGCTGCTGGATGTGGGGTGACTGCTGCTGTCTCAGGAGAACGGGCGATTCCTCTGCAAAATGTCTCCACCCAATCGTGTGCTCTTAGCGGGGATCAGCAGGCACCCAGGGCGGGGCGAGGGGTGTTTTGCCAGCTCATTGCTGGCTGCAGAGGGAACAGAAAAACCCTCCTGGTTTGTAGGAAACACTGCACGGCAACCCCAGCAGATCTTTGTGCTTTGCTCACTGGAGGGTGCTAAACACAGCACCCAAAGGTGGGGGATTAAAGGAATTTGACACCACCTTGACTCATTCTGTCCTCTAAAAACGAGGGCAGCGTTTCCTTGTGCCTTCCCTTCTTTGATTTCCAGAGCCCGTCACCATGCTACGTATGTCTTCATCTGCTAACACCAACTGGGGGGATGAATTTGGGTCTCTTTTCCCCCAATGCCTGGGAAAGGGTTCGGGGACTCTGCAGGGGATCGTTTTTGTGTTTGTGTCTCTGGGATCTAGCTCTGGACGCCAGATGCCTTGTCTGGGAAGGGATTATCGGACATTTTACGCAGGGACACTGATCAGCTGTTTGCATCTCAAGCATGCTCATCGTGGCTTGCAGGGACACTGACTCAGTAAGGAGCGGTGTGTGTTTTGGGAGACTGATTCCACCATGATTGGTCTCCCTTCTGCGGGAGTTCCCTGTAAGCAATTCGCTCTAGAGGGAAGGCCTGGTTACACAGAGCAACGCCAGTGTCAAATGCTGCCGGATCTAATGGTGAACCAAGGTCAGAGGGCACCTCTCTGCGCTCACTGACCGCTCTCACCAATTTACACTCATGCAGTGAAGCTGGAATCAGGCCCATAATGTCGTCTGACTGCTTTAAAAAAACGGCACAACCGTGACTGTGCAGGATGCAGCAATGAAAACTCCGTCTCCTACACCAAAACCGGGGAGCTAGGATTTCTCCTAGGGAAAGTCTGGCATAGAGGAGAGAGGCCCACTAATTTAGAAACCATCACAGTGCGAGGTAGGCAGAGGTTCCAGTATTATCCTCTGTTTGATGCATTGTAGTAATGCAGAGTGACAAATGCATGTATATATAATTTAAAAGGTATTAAATGGTTATCCTGAAAGGATGCTCTGAAAGAAATCAATTTCCTATAATATCCTTTAAAACCTGTATTGAGTTAAGTTGCAATAGCTTATGTCAACTTTTGGCACTATTTCGACTTAGCTACACGATTGACTTAGCTTAAGTTGTGTAGCTTGATTTGGCTTTAGCCCTGCTGTGTAGACGTGCCCTTATAAACAAAGTGCCAGCCAAGAATGAACTTCTGGAGCAAAGCAAAATTGGTTTCGTAGAGAGGAGGAGAGTGCAAAATCTCTTCTCTGGCTGTGCAAAGAGCCGACCTTTTGAAGTTACGCCCTAAGCCGAGAAGCATTGTCTGCTGTTCACCTGCTGCTTGAGGCCAAGATCCGTGGTCCACATTGTATCAAGGGAAGAATTAACTATCCAGGATTGTTTGTTCTGAGTTAAAACTTATCTAAAATTGTGACCATGGAAAAATACACCAGGAGACGTTTGATAGAACGATCATGTACCAAAAGCCTTGTTGTAGCAGGGGGTGGTCTCCGGTATGATGATTAGCAGGCAGGTAGTTTATTGTATAGTTGTTAATTTTTTGATGTAACGCTTTCCCTGTAAGAATAAATGTGCTTGCTTAGAAAGGGCCATATGGTAATTTATTCCTGTGACCAGATAAACTGTTTAGAACTTCTGGTGAGAAACCAGTGTGCGGATGCCAGCTGTTTAGTCCATTTGGCTTGCTGAGGAATTTGCGGTGTAGGCTGGGAACTGTGCAGCCTGGAAAAAGCCTGCTCAGAAGGGAGAGGGGCACCCAAGCATGGTGCGAAAAGCCTGCAAGTGAGTGCCCATGCTGGACCGCAGTGAGGGCAATGCAGGCGTAGTTATCTTGAACTGTGACAGATGCAAATTGTAGCTGAGTGTCCCTGGTATGTCGGCATAGGGTTTATATTTGGAACGAGAATGCCTCCTACGCTGATTTCCAGCTTGTGCTCTGAGCGGGTACGGCCTCTGCAATTTCCCTTTTGGATGAATGTGAGTCTTGTGTGTGGTGAAGAATGGCCTTATTCAGTGCCAAATTCACAATGGAACCCTAGACACATCCGCTTTCCCCTTCCGAGATAATGGTTCTGGGAAGGGTGCAAGCCTTCCAGCACAACATTCGTGTCCGCCTTATACCCAAGCTCTTGGTGGATCTCTGGAAAATGCTTTTGTACATCAGGCAGAAATGTGCAGTGGCTGGGTACGTGGTGGGGGAATGGGTTACCCCGTCTTGCACCTCTGACTTGGTGATTCATGTTCAGCTGACAGTTGCAGTGAGTAAAAGTTGTTACCCTCTGGTCAGGGCTGGCCTTACCGTGAGGCAAACTGAGGCAGCAGTCTCAGGTACCAGAATGCGGGGGGGGGGGGGGGGGGGGGGGAGGGTTGCCACTAGGACCCAGAGAATTGAGACCTTTCAAAGTTTTGGCCCAAGCGAGGAGGCATGGGGGCGTTATTTGAGCTCCCTGTCTCAAGTGCCAAAATATTGTGGACCGGCCCTGCCTCCGATGGCTATTCAGTGACCTACGTAAAGAATAGGACCCAGTCTGAGAACCCAAGACTAATGGACAGGTATCCACACAGCATTTGCACATGCTTTTCTTTGCAGCCTTAACAGCTAAGCTGGTGATTAGCGGGTCTTAGGCAAGGAGTCACCTCCTTGCAGTAAGTCTATATAGTGGCTGGGAGAGTAATGAAATAGGGAATGGGACATGTTCTGTGCTAGCACTTCTGTTTTTATTGGACTAGCTTGAGCACACGCTCCTAATTCTACTAGCTCCTGGGTAGACTCCCTAATCATCTAGTTGGTTCTTACTCCCACATGGGGCAGGTTGGTTGGATAGGCCTAGTACCGTTGTCTATCCTGGAGATATCTGGGGAATTGCCAGCTTCTGAAACTTTAAATATTGCACTCTTCTGGCATGTGAGAAGTGCTCCACAATCCATATTTTTTTTCTCTCTCTATTTTTAAACTTCTTAATCTAGTTGCGCATTCAGGTTGTAAATATCTCTGCTTCCTGTTCCACACGGTCACTTTCCTCAGTACTTTGCTGACAGTAACTTTACCTGCTGAATTATGGCATCCTAGCTCCGTTCCAAGGCTTTGCTGTTTCTAGGCCTTTCGGTCTATCGAATGTTCCCTCGGAATTCTAAATAAAAACGAGTTCGGGGGGTTGGAATGAATCTTGGAATCTTGCAGAGCATCTCCAGGACACCAGGGGGAGGCTGTTAAAGCTGCAGACCGATCTGGCTGTTTGTTGCTCAGCCAGCTGTAATTGGCCATGTCACAGAACTGAACCACCTGTTTACTCATTACAGGTTGAACCTCTCTAATCTGGCACTCTCTGGGCTGGGAACATCCATGGTCCGGCATGATTTGAGTGAGCCCATGTCCACTAACCATGGGTGTGGCCAAGTTTCCCACCATCCCATAAAGTTTGTTTACAGCCGCCAGTCCTGGCTCTCACTGCTCTATGCTGTGATTTAGCTCTAATTTACCCCTAAATGTCTTCTCACAGTCTAGGAAGCAGTGGAAGTGTTGGAAATGCTGCTAGATAATCTTGACCTCCCAGGTCCGGCAAGTTCTCTGGTTCAGCACTGGTCAGGTCCTGAGGGTGCCGGATTAAGGAGGTTCTATCTGTGCTAGCCTCGTGCTGGCTGGCTAGAGGGCGGAAGAGGGATGATATTAGCTGTGAGGGTGGCTAGGAATGTAAGGTGTCTGGAGGCAAGCCAGCCAGGGGAGGGGCGAATAAAGAAGGTG